TTCTGCCATCCTCAGAAAGTAAAATATCTTTGAGAGATGCTCAAACATCTTCACAAATGGGTACAACGAGGTTTTAAGAAATTTAATCAAATTAGTGGGAAGTAAAAGAAAAATTATCTCAACTTTCTTAAATACCAGAGTTTGCCACTGGGACTCTCTGAAATAATATTTGGCCTTTGAAATTATATTAGGTCTTAGCTTTTAATATTTCAATCCATCCCAAGATTAACACCAATAAAAATGCTAGCCAACTGCTCTCCCATCAACCTCCCCCCACCACCCATTTTGGTCTCCCATCTCTCCTATTTCTGGAGTATTGCTGTGTCAACATAATACCTTTGCAACTCAAGCAATCCACCTTTCCTAGCAATACAATTTCAAAAGACTCATACATGCTAGTTACCTAAACGCCTTCACACTAGACTCTCCTTTGACATCACCAGCATGTCAACCTAACCCCAAATATGTGAGCAATGCTGGGTACAATTTAATTACAAGAGCACACTCTGTCAGAATGTCCCAGTCTGTTTTGTTTGGGTAGAAATGATTATGAGGAGGCCGAGTAAGTTTGCAAAATTGCTCAGCTGAATTCAGCTGCTTTCCATGGGGATTTCCTCCGGAGGAAAAGAAAAACAGATAAAAATGTAAGCCTGGTGCCAGCGTAATACAATGTGGGGAATCAACTTGGGGAAGAAAATGATACTCAAAGAAAACTGCAGAGAAAGTTAGAGCTTAATCCTCCTTTTCCCCAAGAGTAACATATTTAAATATAATCTCCAATGCTGATTTTCAGCACAGAAAAGATATAGAAGACACTCATTTGGCTGGTGAACTATAATAGTAAAAGAATGAAAATAATAAGAGTTGGCTGTATTTGCCCCATTCGAGTCCTTCTTAAAATTTCTCTAAGGTAGCCAAAGCAAATTCTTTTTCCTTTCATTTTTTCTTTCGTTGCTTTTTTTTTTTTTTAAGAAAAAGTCTCATTAATACGTCCTAGATGTTCTTTATTTTGCTGTTTTAAACGATGTTCAGTGCTCACGCCAGCAATATCAATACAAGCAAAGGGGAGTGGAAACCACACTCCCCAAACCACGTGGATAGTCGATGCTAAGGAACCAGGTCCCTGAATCATTCAGATGACAAACTCAATTCTCCCTTCGCTCTGCTGTTTAGACAAAGCCTGAGTGACCAATTTCAAGTTCAGAAACAAGCAAGTCTCTAAGTCCGAAGTCCCTGATGAGTGTTTTTTAAAACTGAAAATGCTAGTAAAATAGAAAAAGAAGAAAAAATAAATAAAACAAAGAGAAAAGGAAACTGAACTTNGCTAGTAAAATAGAAAAAGAAGAAAAAATAAATAAAACAAAGAGAAAAGGAAACTGAACTTAGCGATAGGTTAAGATTGTGTTCCTAACTACCCCAGAGAGGCTCAGAGATACTTTTTTCTCTAATGAGTGAAAATGAAAGCTGTTCCTCTGTTTCCCTGTCTGGCTTGCATTGGTTTATTTTATTCTACTACATATTTGGAGAACCTTTTACTTGAAACACTCTCAATTTCCTTACAGTCCCCTTTCCTCTTCCCCACTTCCACGTGGAGACTTTGAAAAGGGAAAGAGAAAGAATAAAACAAGTTGGGGGTGGGAGAATATGAGAAATTTAATCATCATCCTAAATCTTACCTGCAATTTTCAGGAAGGGGGAAAAAAAGAGGGATAAAAGATATCAGGGGAAGGGGATAAAAAGAAAAGCCCCAACCTTCGACAGAGGGTGTCCAGTCAGCCAAACTCTGGCTCCAGCCAAGCTAATGTGTCCCTTTCCCCTCCAAAATCGTTTTTAAAATTCAACCCTCAACTTTCAAAAATCTGTCTCTAATTTCAAACTCAAATAAGCGCACAGCATGGTGGCTTTTGTTTTGTTTTCTTCTCCCCAACTCCTCCCTGCGATTGCATAACAAAAGTGTCTAAATTCACACCATCTGGCCGATAAAGACACCGGCCCCACTGCCCGGCTGGCCCATCTGATCAGGGCCCTGTCTAGCCTGCGCCTTGTGGCGAAAAGTCACAGCTGTGGGGTTTGCTCGCGCTCAATACAACTCTGTTATTAGCCAGCTGTAGGCCTGGAGACGACTTCTGTTCAAATTATAATATCTTTTAACCCTCTGAGCATTGAGGGCACAGGGGTGGCTGGCAGCGACATAACAACTAGATTTCTCCCTGCTAATAATTGGCAAAATGAACTAAAGCAGCCAGGAGAGTGGCGGAGACCACTGCGGAAGGGAGAGAAAGTTATTCCTAAGGAGATTTATTTTGTCCTTTTGCTTTGTTTCACCCCTCAGTGCTAAACACCAATTTATGAGCTTTTTATTAAAGATTACAGAATATAAAACCATTCGGGGAAGTGCCCAGGTATGCCAAATAACACCATACAAATGAAACTCAGGACGTGCAATTAACATTGAGAAACAGGGCGTCTGATCCATCCCTCCATCTTTGAGTGCTATCACTGGCCCTGAAAATGTGGAAGAAGGGACTTTACCCCCTTTCTGGGGAATCAACCATCTCTAACCAACAGATTGAACTTCCTTTTCAGATGCATCCAGTTTTTGCCATTCCCCACCACGCGCGTGCGTGCGCGTGCGCACACACACACACACACGCGCGCACACACACACACACACGCGCACCACACACACACACACACACACACACACACACACACACACTGCAGACAGTACCCATCCCATGGATCATTTATTTACTCGTAATTAATATTTGTTTTAGTTTCTAGTTTAGGAAGAAAATAGAGCATCTTCCCAGGTCTCCAATGTAGAGAAGTTACAGTACATTAAATTTTTATATTGTGTTATTAGTGCAGACTAAACTAGAGGCTTTAAAAATTGATGCTGCTACTTAAACAGCATAAAATGAGGAGGATTTGATTGGGCTTAAAAATAAAAATGTCAGCCTTAACTACAGCTGGATGGGGCGTGCGGGTATTATTTAAAGTGATAGGTATAATTCATTAGACGATGGGCCCGTTTTCGGTTTTGCTTTTTCAGAGGGTAATTAATCTCTCCAAATTTAAAAGTATAGAGAGGAATTAAAAACCTCCCTTCGACTGGACAAGTCATAGCACTCTATTTAATCTCGATATTACATGCAAGTACACTGTAGAGTTGTACCTTCTTCTGAACAAATCTATCAAGGGGCCCTGGGATAACAGGGTAGCAATCTTTTCCTCTACTGCCCAATGCCTCCCCAGCTACTCAAGCAAGGAAACCCCCCCCACAGAGGCCACTGGCAGAGTTGAACTTTGCATCTGGCAAGTTTGTTTTTCTAATACTTGGTCAAAACCAAAACAAACAGGTCTAATTGTTATGGTTTCTTCCTGACTGGTTGGGGAGGCAGACAGGGTTGCAGGGAGCCACCCATAAAACAGTCCGTGCTAAATCAAATGGCCTGCAATTACCCAAAACTAGCAAGTCTGGAGTTGGAAGACATTCACTGAAGCAGCAGCAGAGTAAGAAAGAACTGAAGCTTTCCCTCCAATCAGAGACTTTGGAGGAAGAAAAACATGTATGAAATGACATTTAAATTTTTATAGTAAAATAATCATCCTCTTCCCAGAGTTTCCTTTTTAAATCTTTTCTGATTTGCAATGGGATCTCCAACACCCAGCTCAGTAGCCAGCACATATGAGGCACAAGAAACCCAGTTCAAGAGGGACCTCTGCTGTACCGTACATAAACATTTGTTGAAAGAATGAGTGTGTGGATGAATTTCTTCTGATTTTTTTTTTTTTTTTCTTCTAGTGGAGCAGAGTGAGACAATGCAAAGGCCTCAAGATGGACTGGATTGGCCTCTGAAGGGAAATGGGCAAGGTGTAGGGACAAGAGCAGATTGCACCACTCACAACGTGGCCATCGGAATCCAGCTGTTGCTCTGGACCCCGGATCTCTCAGATGGGGTCCTCTCTCCGCCCCGTCCACCACGGGTAGGGATCAAGACTGATCTTTCTAGCCTGTAGTTCCTCCTGAACTAATAAACTCTCCCTGTGCTTGAGAAGTCATAGGAAAGGTGACTTCTCCAGAGGAAGGGATCGCCCTCCGCCCCGCAGACAGGTGCCTGGGCGCGGGAAAGCACCCTGAAAATGGTCACCCTGGCCCACACTGAGAGTCGTTCCAGGGCTTTGACTCAGTAACTCCACAAGCGGTCCCGCCTGGAAATCTACCCAGAACGGGCAAGTGGGCACCAAGCAGTCACGGGCCATGGGCAAGACGGCCTCAGGGAACTTCCCCATCCCAAACCCCTCCTCGCGCTGCCACCAAGTGACCATCAGAGGAGGGAGACTTTCCACTTGGCTAAGGAAACTCCTTGGATGCCAGAGGGGTGCGTCCTTCTGGGTTTTCTCTCTGAGTCCTAACTGATATGCTCTAAGGAACTTTCCTTAAAGGGAGGAGGGCTCGGGTGGATCCGCGTCCCTCCCCACGCCTCGCACTCCTGGAAGTCAGCACCGGAGCAGGCGCGCTCACCTGCGTGCTTTCCAGCCAAGCCCCAGGAAAAGGAGGCTCTTACCTGCACATCACTTCGTGGGTCAGGAGAACTCGGCACATTTCCGGATTCTTATTCTGTCCCTCGTAAGCTATGGGCTGCCGGGGAGGGCGGGGGAGATATGGAAGGAGAGAAGGGACAAAGAGGGGACTTTAGAGCAAGTGCAAGATTGTTTACCTCTCCCTACCTGCTGCCCCATTAGGAGTTTTCCTTCGGAGCACAAACCCAAGTAGTTGCCCGGTTAACTCAGCTGAAATAATAACAGGGAGGTTTGCCTCGATGAAGACACAGTTCTTATCAAAAGGGAATGTTTGGGGGAACTGAATCTCCCATACGTTTCTTTCCTCTCTTAGCCCCTTTGCTTTCCTCTCCCTGGCCCCCACGTCTCCCCAAGCCAGATAGAAAAAGGACAATTTGTGAGAAATTTTTTTCGCAGAGCAGACAAGGTGGGAGTTCATGGGGGGTGGTGAAGTCTGACCCAGGAAATCGTGGAGGAGGGGGGAGGTCAGAGACTAGCTGGGGTGGGGGGAGGTCAGAGACAGGCGGAGGAGCCAAGTGGCGGCGGGGCTCACCTGCTTGGTGACCGAGTCGATGAGCCTGACGTAGAGGTCCTGCTCCGTGCGAACGCCTGCGGGGGTAGGAGAACGGCCCAGGTCAAGGTCCACCGAGACACACCCGGCTACCCCAAAGCCGTCTCCACCATGGGGCGGAGGCTCAGGAAGCTGCTCCGGGCCGCAGGCGCCCAGGCTGAGCCATCCTGGAGGCAGAGGCCTCCCACCCACCCCCAGCCCCTACCAAGCCCTGCTCTCCCCGGGGCCACCCTGCAAGCGACATCGGAATGGTCAACTGTCTTCCCTGGAAGGGAAGAGAGCGTGCACTGCGCCGCAGCCGGCCCTCACCGTTGCTGTAGAGGAGCTGTAACTTGTAGTGGGTGCCGTTGTTGGTCTTTTCGTTCCCTTGTTCCTGAAAAGACAGGTGCTGTTTGATTCCCTTGCTTTCCAGCTCCCCAAAATGAGGGAAAGTGGAGACAGCGCGTCCCCACATTGCCTCCTGCGCCGCCTTTCTCCCCCTCCAACGGCAGCTTTGAACAACCCCCGCACTGCCCCCGGTTAAAGACCCGGAGCGTCTGCCCGCCACTGGCTGTCCTCCAAAACTTGCCAGGCTCATGGCTACTTGACCCCTTCAGCCCTCTGTCCATCGCCCTTCAAAATATTCCAAGAAGTGTGACCTCCGAGCTGCGACACCAAGCCAAAGTTGCCTTTAAACAGGTCCCACCCAACCCATCTGGCTCTGTCTGTCCTTAGGAAGCCACAAGACTTCTCTTGGCAGAAAGGTGAAGGGACCCGTCATTTGGAAGGCCAGTATTCGGCCCTATGCCGCCAGGACCAGAGCTGGCCACTGCTCAGAAACCCAGTTCAAGAGGGACCTCGGGAAGCCATGCTCCAAAGCTCACTCTGTACAGCGGAGGAGACGGAGACCACAGAGGGCAAGAGATCTTCCTCTGGTCACACATCGGTTTAGGTAGATTGTCCTTCATTAGAGATCAAATCTAAACCCCCAGTCCGGCCTGAGTTTGGAGGAGGCACTGCCTTGGGGAGCAAGAGTGGAAGAGAAGGCTCGGTCCAAAGGCCGGGCAGGCTGAGCTGTGAGCTCCCACCTAGTACCGACTCAAGCCACCTTGCTGGCAAGCGCAGGTGCAAAATAACTAAAATAACCCAGAAAAGGGCAGCGGCAGTGTTGGGTACACTTTTAAACTATGGTTTGCTCCATGGTCAGTCCACGACCAGGCACTGCCAATGACCCCAGGCTCGGTGCGCGGAGCCGGGAGCGGTGCGGGAGTAGGGCTGGGAGGAGGTGCGGGAAAATCGACGGATTTAGAAGCTGGGGGAGAGAAGCTTCGATTTATCATCCTTGATGATACGAGCGGGAAAAGTGTCGTGAGTGACAGATGGAATCTTTAGTGCTTTGCAAGGGGCGAGTTATTAGGCCTCGGGGAAGGGGGGGCACGTTCCGCTTACTTTGTCGTTCTCCACAAAGTCCACGAAGGCTGTGCGCTCGATCTCCACCGGCTGCCCCTGCCTGTCGTAGAGCGCCAGGACGAAATGAAAGAAGTTGGACTTCCTCAAGTTGGAAGGAGGCTGCTTCTCAAAGTGGGCCCGGGACAGGGCTACCCCGCTGCGCAGGAAAAAACACGGGGACACCGGACACGTAGAAGGAGAGAAAGACACGATGTTACTAGCGGGCCCGCACAACCCTGCAGAGGGGCAAGGATCCGCGTCCTAGGTCCCGAGTCCCGGACCCTACAGGCCTTTTTCCAATTCGGGTCGAGAAGCCATGGCCACGGCCCCATTGGTCCAGCCTCCGGGCCTTTCGCCGGCCGCTCACCAGCAGGCATTTAGGGGAAACCAAAGGACCCAGTCTGACGACCAAGGCCAGAGGGGTCCCCCTAAGTCGTATTGTGTCAGGGCACCCCTCTTTCCCTCTGGTGGCGCTGATCAGGACGCAGAGCTGGGACCCGGAGTTAGAAGTGACCCTTTTAGTTCACCTTCATATGGTTACCTGTCCCGGGGCCACTGCTCACAATCCCCACCCCCACCCCCGTGCTAAGTCGGAAGGGCCGTAGGTAGAAGCCGGAGGGGCGGGCGGGAAGCCCAGCGCCCAGGTCTCCGTCCTGCAGGCCTCGCCCCCCTCCTTCCCTCGGTCTTCCGAAAAGTTTGTCCCGGGACAGTGGAGGGGTGGAATTCCCGCGACCAGCACGGGGAATCTCTGGCCACCACAAACAAGGGACGTGATATCGGAGACCCTCATCCCCTGAGCGGCTGGGCGTGGAGAAGCCAAAATGTAAAGAGGCAGAGGGCGTCCTCGCCTGGGGCCGAAGCGATGCCCACTCAAGCTGTTTCCCCGGCGGCGCCCGCCAAACCCGCTGACCGTGAAACCCAAATTGGGGGGCCCGGGAGGCGCCCTCGGGCGTTTTGAGTGTGTGCACACACCTCCCTGCAGACCTGTCGCGGCCCGGGGCCAAACTGGTCACCAGATCACATTTAACCAAAGACTTGGGGCGCACGCAGGCTAGCGCACAGATGACAAGCGCTGCCCCGCGGCGCTGGGGTCCTGGGCCTAGTTCCCCGGCACGCGAGCACTTTCGCTCCTTTGAAGGGTGCAGCATTTTGGCTGGAATCCCCCACTGCCTGTTCCAGCTGTAACGAACTACCTGATCCCGGGAAGGGAGGGAGGTGTGGAGCGTCTTTAAGGAGCCCCGCTAGGAAAATGCGCGGTGGAGCAGGCTCTGCTGTGCTGCCTATTTTCCCCCGTTTGGAGCCCAGCTAGTCTCCGACTGCTGCGGAAAGCCGCTGCCGCCGCCGCCGTGTGCCATCTGCCTGAGGGACACCAGCGCGTCCCGGCTCCGGCGGACGGGAGGGAACCGCCACCGGCCCATGTCTCCCCCACCCCCCACCCCCAGCGATGTGACTTCTACTTCCTTTTCTCCAAGAGGAGCGGCCGGTTCGCTGTACCCGGGACGTTTGACCTGTCCTGGAGAAGGGTAATTTCCTCCTGTGACGCTGGAACTTAAATTAGGATGGCCAGAAGAGCGAATGAGGGGGCGACAACCGTGGAAGAAGTTCGTGGGCTCTTTAGGTAAGGGGGCTGCTTGTCGCAGTCGAGGGCGTGGAGGCCACGGATCCCAACTCAGTCGTGGTGATGAGGGAGGGGGACCCGAATGTCTTCGTAGGGTGGCACCCTGGGCAAGGTGTTTACTACCCCAGCACGCGGACGCTTAGAAACAACATCAACTTCAGGGACCCACAAAACTAGAGGCTGGTGGTCCCCGCGCGCGTCCGGAGGCCGGTCTCTTTCCTCGCCTCTTTCTTCTTCCGCGACTCCTTCGTCTTTTCTCTTCTCTTGCATGTCTTTTCTTCCTCTCTGCCCGCCTCCGTGCGTCTGGCCCACTGCTTTATCTCTGAGCCGGGACCCTCCAGCCTGTCCCCCTCCCAGAACTGCCGGCCGCCTCGCCTTCCCCGGCAACCGCTCAGGGCTCTCCTGCTCCTCTCGCCGCCGCCACCCTCTGGCCGCGGGGCTCGAGGCCTCCAGGAATCGCCCTGCAAGATGCGGGCGGAGAAGCGCGGCATGGAGAGCCCCGGGAGCCGCCGGGAAGCCGGCTGTCTTCTCGCGGCCGCTCGGGTCCTCATGCTCCGCTCCGGGCCAGGCCGGCTTGCAGGACCAGGGGGCTGAGCCGGGAGGCGTCGGATGCCACTTTGCTATTTTTCCTCCCAAAGCGTGGATGTGGGAAAGGAATGGGGGAGAGACGCAAAAGCCCCAGGCAGTTCAGAAACTCGAGTGCCGGCTGCAGGGGTGACCGTCCTCCTGACTGCAGCGACCTGCCTGCCCGAGGGCGAGCCCCGGCGCGCGGGGCCAGGGCGACAGATGGGGGTGGGGGAAGAGAGAAGGAAATAGGGATGGGGGGCAGGGGAGGGGAGCACACGGACAAGAGAGTGAAAGCGAGAGACTTTGAGAGAACAGTAATTGTGCAGCCGTCTCGTTACCTCTGCGCCGCGACATTGGCGTCCACCACGCCGACATTCCGGACCCAGGACCGGACTGAATCCATCTCGGCGCCCAGCGATTTCTCTTTTAGAGCTGGTCCTCTTCCTAAAGTATCTTGAATCCCAAACATTTAAAAAGTCTGATCCTCTACTGTCGCTTTAAAATCAGAGTTACAACAGCACAGTCCTGACTGTTCCCAACGCCGCCAGCAACCCTTCTCCACAGCAATCCAAGAAAAGGGAACAAGTGCCGAAGTTTGAGTGTCTCTTGGAATAGAAAGAAAGAAAGAAAAAAGATAACCCGTCCTTTGCTTCCCTCGGGAGGTGCGGACTGATGTAGTCAAAGTTTGGGTTTCTATCCTTGCAAATTCAGATCCGCCGCCCCAGGCCCTCCGCCCTAGGTCGCTCGCATCCTTCCAGCTGCAGCGCTGCCTCCTGAAAGTGATCACAATTTAGAAGCATCACCTGTTCTGGGAGAAACAGGAGGAGATTGATGGCTGCCTAATCTCTCCCTTTCCTCCTGGTCCCCCCCTCCCCGCTCCTCCCCACCGCTCCAATTTAAAAAAAAAAAAAAAAATCCCAACAGGATCAGTTGTAAAAGGAAGGGGAAGACCCGGAGCCGAGAGAAGGCGGTGGCCGAGAGCGCAGCAGAGCCGGGCAGCAGCCGCGCGCGGGCCCCATGAATGGGTTACTACGGCCCTGGCCGCGGGAGGCGGAGCCGCGGCCCGATAAGGAGCTTCATTTGCATGGACGCTCGGGATTGGCCGGCGCCGGGCGAGCCGGGCCGACGTCGTCCGGCGGCGCGCGCCACGCTCTGCGTTGCCGGGAGTCTGGGAGGTGAAAGGGGACAGAAAGCTGCAGGCGTGGTGTCTTCGTCCCAACCCCATGTGCGTGCGCGGGAGACCGGGGCCCCCAAACCTGCGCCGATGCTGGGGTAGCCGGGCCCTGCGGGCTGGGGACGCGCTGGCTCGGTCTGGCCGCCGGAGCCTCAAGCCTCCGTGGTGCAGGATCCCTCCTCTCACTGCAGGTTTTTGTCCCCTGCCGGGTGGCATTTTTATTTCCGGGGCTTGGATCTGTGTGCATGTTGGTGAAGAAGCGGAGGGTGTGACCACATGTCCTCATGTGTTGTGCACAGGTTCCCCAGAGCACCCCGCCCTCTGAACTGCTCTCCCAGGTCTCTTGGAGTCCCACGGTGACACTCAGATTTTGAGTGCGGTTGCACGTTGTGGAGAGAGGAGGACGCATGAATGAAGGCGGGAGTGGGTGCGGACGAGCGAGGCTCAAGTGCTGTTCAAATAAACAGCGCGTCGGGGAAACCGGTCAAGCAGCTCAGGAAACTACCCCCGGGCGGGCGAGAGCGGGAGTCGCCCTCGTGCGCAGGAGAGGCTGGTGACAGATCGTGGCAGGCTGAGTGCAACGGCGGCTGGGGCACGGTCCCGGGAGTCCCCCCAGCCCCCGTTTCCGAAACCCCGGGGAGCCGGCAGGGGGGGCAGCGGGGGTATCTCGGAATCTTTGCCCAAAGCGCGCGGTCGCCGCGGTGCTGGCCGCGGGCTGGTGGCCGGGAGGCGGCGGCAGCTCCGCCAAACAGCTGAAACCCTAGACGGCTTTTTAACTACGCCGGGCAGCTCGCGGTGCCTATTAAAAATCCTCCTGGCTGGGTGTTATTTTCTTGCTTCTCCTTTTGTATTCTGATCTGTGCATAGATCTGCTGCTGAAATCTAGAACACCAGTGCGAAAACAGATTTGGAGACAATGAATGCAAATCTGTGCTCAAAGACCATCTGCCGTGAAGGAGACAATCAGCTGTTCTGCAGTTCGAACGACTGCGCCCGAGTCGCCCGGCCTCATTACAGAGAGGGCTTTTGCAAAAACCTGGATTGCATTCAGGACACTTTCCCTCTACTTAGGACTCTGATTTGAGCCTCATTTGACTCCCGACCAGATCCCTTAGGTGTAGGTGAGCGCTCACAAATGAACTGCGACAGTTTGCCGCTAGAGGACACGGCGCCCTGCAATTCGTTCGCCTGGGCGGACAGGAAGCTTGCGCTTTGAGAAAACGCGGCTCTCTTGAGATAGGGACCAGCGCGCGCCTCCACCTCACCCCAGGGACAAACCGCGACCCCAGAATGGGCGGGCGAGATCGCGGTCAGGAATCGCCTGTCTCTGCTGCAAAGATTCGCTTACAGCCCGTTGGGGGGTAGGGGAGTGCGGGTGTGCGGACCCTCTCTGCACAGACCCGGGGTAAGGGACTGGGGTGGTTGATTTGGGGGAGGAGAAAGAAGATGAAACTCCCGCCTCTGGGCTGTGTTGACTGTGGCACCCCGACCCCAGAGCTCTGACTTGGTCGTCCCAGTTGGACAAGAAGGGGCAGGGAAGCCACGCAGGGCTATTGAGCATCAGAAAATGGAATGGATGGGCTGTCCAAGCCACGTAAGACAGGAGTTGTCAAAAGGAAGAAGAGGGAGGGTGGGAGAGGAATTTGAAAGGGTGAAACTTTCTGCCCTGTTTCAACTCGGCAATTCTGCTATACGCACGTTTTATGGATACTATCTGTCCTGCAAACAGCAACCACGCGGAGTCTTCCACACCCGCCCGCTCGCTCTATAAATCTCTCCCAGCCTCATGTAACTCCCTCAAGTCCCTTCCTCGTTTAGGGTCTGCGCCCGGCGGGGCCAAGGCCTCGGGTTCCTTGGGGGAGAGCCCTTCAAGAAGTGCTGATGAGCCCGGTAATTTCCCCCCCGCACCCTCAGGAGACCTTGATTGCTGCACCTCGGAACTGCCCGGGAAAGGTGCCGAGCGCACCACAAGGGGCCGCAGATCAGCAGCGGCCCGATCCGGGTCCGGACAGTCTGCCCCTCAGGCTCTGGTTGGCTGGGGTTAAAGGGCAGAGCCGGGGTCGGGGGCGCAGGCTTTTCTAGCCGGTAACAGCTGCCACCCAAATGATGCCCCTCAGGAAGCCAATGAATTGCTTCTTTCTCCAGCTCCCTGCTGCCTGCCCCAAACCAGACAGCCGCGCAAGGCGAGCGCCCCCACCCCCTCCAACCCCCAGAGATGAGCACAGGGGTTGCGGGGCCCGCCGGGAAGCAGTTTGAGGGGGGCCTTGGCCCCCGAACTTGGACATGGTGGGGTCCGCACCGCTCCTAGATGGCTGCGCTGAGGGCACCCTCCCTGCGGCCGCGCAGGGCACAGGCGCGAGCTGCTGGCGCGCTGCTGCGGGCCCCCTGGGTGGCTGGCCCCGGGCGCCGAAGTTCCTGAGCCTTCGCCGCGGAGGGAGGAGGCCTCGGGCCCAACGGGGCGGCACTCCAGCCTTGGACAAGCCGGGGGGCGTTTCTCCCAACAGAGTTGGGTTTAATTAAGTTTGTGTAGGTTTGGGGAGGGGTGGGTGCAGAATCGGCCTCCCGCGCCCAACCGTTGGGACGGGCTCGAGTGTGTTGCTGCGGTGGCTGAGCCTGGAAGGTGGCTCCCATCTCTATCGCCTCCGGCTCCCCCGAACAAACGTCCTTTTCCAACGTGCGACATAAAACCCGCCCCGAGCCGCGCGGGGGCTCGGCCGGCGCAGCTGCGGCCCGGGGAAGCCCGGCCCAGCGAGCTTCTAGCCACGTTCAGCCGGGTCGAGAAAGATCTAAAATGAACACGATTAAAATTCTTAAAGACAATCTGTTTACACACAGCTGGAGTGGTGGTTGGTGGTATTCCGTCTTTTACCCTGTCCCCTTCTTTGTTCCTCCTTCCCAAATGACCCCACCCCCGGTTTTTTTCCTGCCCACGTTTCGCGTCTGCACCTCAGTGCAGTGTGTTCAATTTCCTTCTCATTGGTTTCAGGGCCCGTTTGCCCAGTTTCCTCCAGTTTAGTCATCCCGGGCGCCAACTCTCTCCTCCGGGTTAGAGGTTCGGAGATCTTCCTTAGAAATTGCCCTCCCGGCCGAGTTCTTGTCTGGCGGGGTGCTTGGTAAGTTCAGGGGTATCAGAACCCCTCCCCTTACTACCTTCGCCCCCATCTCCAGGCACACACAGCCGGGGCGCCGGGGTCTACGCAGCCCGCAGCACAGAGCCTGACCAGCATCCAGGGAATTCGATCCACAGAGACAGCCAGTCCGCGTTTTGTACATGAAATAACTGGCCGTTCCCGTGGCCTCTTTTCGGACGTGGATTTTCGTTTTTTTCTTTTATTTTTTAGCTGGAACCGTTGCCTTTTATTTGTCCGAGTAGAAATAAATAGCTTTGCTTGCTGTCTCAGTGTCCTGACAAATATTTAACTCACAATTCTTGGTGAAATTATTTTTCAAATATCCAACTTCGTTAGCTTCCACTACGAATTGCAACTTTGGCATTTTTCTTACGGAAACTAGACTCGCATGTCCCATAAATGCGAATTCCCGGGGGGGGGGACTACTTTATTCACAAATGCACAACAAATACCTCACAGGGCCCCCGCCATCGATATCAAACTGTTGTTCCCTTTTAGGACAGTTTGGTAAGAAGTGATTCGCTTCTTGTTTGGTTTTTACATAGTGAAGGACATTCCAGCGGGAACTGCTGCAGAAATATGGAAGCGTGGAAAAACGTTTTATAGACACTTGATGTTGTACCCAGGCCAGCCGGGTCATTGCAAGTTTACCCAAAATGGACTGAAGGAGCTAGATCCGGCTCTATCTTAACACTTGGCAACTCCAGAAAGTCTCTTCCTCCGCGTCTGTCTCACTTTCTTCCTTTTCTCTGTCTGCCCGCCTCCCCCTCCGTATTCCCCTTCAGAAATATCCTTTCTTCTTATTCCCTTATTCCGGGTGCAGAGCGAGCAAAAAGCAGAAGGGTCAAGAGAACAAATCCTCGCAGCAGCAGCGCTTTGGGAGCGCTGGGCCCGCGGGCAGCGCGGCATTGGCGGTCCGGGAGGTGTGTGTGTTGGGGGACAAGTGGTCTGCATGGAGAAGTGCCCGGTGCGACTTCCACGCCAACCTGGGGACCCGATTTTTCGGGTAGGAGGGTTGACGTGCGCGTCAAACTTCCTCTCGTGGCCGTGCTGGAGTAACCCTGTCGGTGGCAGCCCCTTCCAGGAACCTGTGCACGAAGGTAGTGGCATCTCCGTCACCACAGTATCTAAGGCACAGCAATCTGAGGGCAAATCGATCCGCAGTAAGAGGCCAGATTGAGCAGGTCTCCATGCAAGGTGATAGGAACAGAGGCAGGACGTCTACCGAGCACTTTCTGGGTCCAAGGTACTGCCCACACTTCCTCACCCTTCAACGTGACAGCAACTCTTCAAGTGTGATTTATTTACCCCCATCTTACAGATGAGCAAAATGAGTATGGGAGATGACAAGTGGCATCTCAGCCGATAAATAGGGAGCAAAGACCCTCTCAGGTCTCCCACGTCCTACGCCACGATGGCCTGTAGTAGAAGGCCTTCAAAAA